GGCTAGAGATACTTGCACACTTTATCACATCTCATGACGTCAAATTTTCCACTTAACACATGTTGTCCTTGTGCTTTCAATGAACCTTGGACAAGAAAAGATCCTCCAAGCTTAAATGTGGACCATGCCCAACATCTTTGTGTCCCATTATCTCTTCTTTCTGTTGGTTTCTTCTCCTTTGGGATATTGCCTCCCTCCAACCACTATTCTCCAGTCTACTCACTGTCATTAACTGGTAAGTGCCTCTTTTATTTCCTTACCTATTTCTTCTGTTCTTCCATTCACTTCTTGGAACCCACCTTGTGACTGGTTTTGCTTTCAAATTAGGGGTAAAGAATGCATTAAATAAATCTGCCCTGGCTCCTGAATTGCTCACTGTTGAGATGTGGTTTTATGCAAGATCACTATGGTGGTATGTATGTGTATTTCATTATCTATTCCAGACCATACCTTCCATGGACCACCATGAAAAAAGCCAGTTCCAGGGGGGTGTCTGCCCACTTTCCTGGCTTGCACATGTCAATTTTTCAAATTAAGTTTCTCAGTAATTCATTGCACTTTCTCCAGTAAAAGACCTTTGAAGCAGTAAGGTCTGATTGGGTCTGGGCACCCCTCCAGTGCTCCCCAATGCAAATTTTATCCCTCCTCATTCAGGTGGAACATGGTATTCAAAGTTGTGTGATTCTTCTGAGAGAGTCTAAGTAGGCAGCACAATGCAGTGAGAAGTAGGGCATGGGTGTCCATGTCAGTGGAATGCAGGTCACCCCTATTATATATGCCAATTGCTTGGTTTGGTCAGCTGGATGGGACAAAGTATTCTCCTCACAGGACAGGAAGTGACTTTCCTGTGTTCCTGTTTGTAAGGTTGTAAATTGTACAACATAACATACACCAAACCATAAGTCTGTTCATTGCTGTAACCACACTACACCTCATGTTGAACTGACTTGTTGTGTGCAACTGGTCAGATTGGTCATGTTTTCCCCCCACCCTGCAATATATTAGTTCCTTTTGCCTTCCCCCTTTCATATTTCCATCCAAGCGAAGAGTATACCCTGCTGAGATAGATTAAGTCTCTCCCTCCTATCTGTGGAGGTCTATTGTTGCATGGTGATTATAGCCTGCACTAGTGTAGTTTACATATCTGAGGTGGGAGATAGCTCAAGGCTAGTGGTATGCGCAAGATCTCAAAGGCAGACATAGAAGGAATAGCAACTGTGGGGAAAATGCTAAGTTTCTGACCTCGTAACTATTTTATGCTTGTTATAGTTTTCATGCTATAAATTTTAAATTAGTAAGTGTATGTTAACAAAATTGGGCAGATAATCAGTAAACATTACAAGGCTTTCATATGCAAAACATAAGATTTTTAAAATTAAGTCTTAAGGTTTGTTAAGCAATGTTTTTCTCATGCCTTTTTTCTTTCTTGCATGTTGCCTATCCAACATGCAAAGTAATTTTCATTGTAAGATTAAAAGAGAGAGAGAGAAGAAAAAAATCACCAGTGTGTTAAGACAGTGAATATTATTTACTAATCCAGAATTTTTTTATTTGGATTTTGGTCATAATTCTACAAACATCCAAAAGGTAATGTAATTTCTCTGCAATGATTTTATTTAATCTCATTAATTGATATCATAATATGAATGCATTAACTGGCATTGTAATATTTTCACAGTTTTGTTGTATTCTTTTATCATGTGTCTATTTGTGCTGATTTAATGTCTGGATATGCAAAATTCTATCACTCAACATTTGTTAAGTCATGTTAAATTTGTCCCTTGATGAGTAAAATGGTCATGGAAAAGTTGTAGAATCCTGCATTCTCAGAAGTCTGTAGTGTTCAAACTCTGTTCTACATGATTCAAGTCAGTTGCAATATTTCCCACAAAATTCTCAGGGTGAGAAATGTTAATATTTTCTCTTGTAAACATATAAGAGAGCATTTTATAGCTGAGCCATTTCATTGTCTTCAACCAAAATCTTGCCATCAACATTATTTAAAGACCCAGTGACCATTTTAAGAATTTGCTTATGTTTAACATAGTTAAAAATATATATGTTGTAAGTTGTAACAATATGAACCAGTTGTTTCTTGTCAGCCCTTTTTGATTTTCTTATGTATTTTTTAATAAAGTCCATAGCTTTCCTATAGTTTTAAATCTTTCATCTCATCTGTCAACTTATCTCTTAAATTATTGCATTTATCCTTTGTCAAGCCAGTTAGGTATGATTATTCTTGTTATCCTTTTCCTCTTTTTAAGAACATGCTTATTATGAATAAAAGCTTTTGACAAATTTTTCTTAATCTGTCTGACATTGTCATTTGACTCAATATCTCAATTCAGTAAGGATAAATCATGGCTAATATTTTCAAAATTGGCTTTTGCAAAATCAAGAACTTAAATTCCAATTCTTTTTTTAGTATTTCAGATGTAAGAACTTGTGAGTAAAAGTAAAGAAGAATGTATAACAATGTATCAACCATAATATATCTTCTATATCCAGTGCTGACAAGGCCTTTTGATAATACTAGGGCTCATTAGGCTAGGTGGGATACAATACACACTAGTTATTATGCTGTTTATATTGTTACGCCTCCAGTCGTTAGTTGATTTTCCAGTAAATTCATTCTGACGAAACTTTAGCGACACAAGTCCTTTCTTAAATAAAACTGGTTTATTCTTTCCGAATACAACTTTACGATACACTTAATTTCAACAGTTGCTCTGTAACAAATGCTGTAATTCTCAACGAACTTCTCACGTGCTTAACAATATTCTCTCTGACTGCAGTTCAATTACTCATTACCTCTGTTGTTCCGTCACGTTTCCATTTTTTTCTTTGTCCCACTCTCTGACACCAATTTGTTACGTCACCGTTCGTTAATTAATTTTCCGTAAATTCATTCCAATGAAACTTTAGCGACACAAGTCCTTTCTTAAATAAAACTGGTTTATTCTTTCTGAATACAACTTTACGATACATTTAATTTCAACAGTCGCTCTGTAACAAATGCTAAATTATCAACGAACTTCTCACGTGCTTAACAATATTCTCTCTGACTGCAGTTCAATTATTCATTACCTCTGTTGTTCCGTCACATTGTGACCGTCTTATATATATATATATACAAGACTAACACATATCTAATAAATTCTAGGGCATTCTTGAAGGAACAGGATATTTCTAGAAAACGTGGCGTGATACTAGTCACGTGACCTCGCTGACGCAACAATATCAACAAATCACATTATTAGCTATTGTTATTGTGTGAACTAGGTAAATTGATAAAGTGTGATATCAATTTCATAAGTCCTTTGCAAATCAAAATTAAGAGTAAGAATTAATAACAATATTTTTTTCATTTTAACATTCATTACATATTATTAATTTTTTAATTGAATTAACTTTAAGCATCATTCAAATTAACTGGCAAACCAGCAAGTTAGTTTTATTCCTAGAGCAGGTTGAGCAACTACAACGTACAATAGTAATATTAAGAGCTTTTGAGTGAAAGTGAAGAAGAATGTAAAACTATGTCAACCACACTGTATCCAATATATCTGGTCATGACAAGCTCTCTCCCCCAGTACTAGGACTCAGGGAGCAAATCATTAAGTGTAACTGTGCAGGGACCACTCTTCCCCAAATGTTCCCCTATTTGCAACCATATCCTTTTTAACGGTTAATAAAATATTTGAAATAATTCATTCTCTGTTAATTTGGTATAGAAAACCAACCAAAGTCTCTTCAAAAAATCTCTCATTATTATTATTATTATTTTTACTTCAGTAGGTATAACCCCAATCAATGTGTCTAAAATTAGTCTTCCATAATTAATGTATCAGTATTCTTATTAGAAACACCCTGATCTCTTAAACTATATTCTATTGACATCATCTGTTTGATCAGGCAGCCTCAACAATTGTCAAATAAACTTTTTGCTGGAAACACTTGATTGTAACCATATAGTTTCATTATTTTGACTATCATTTTATGTCTTCAGTCCCAACAGGCTGCAATTCATTCCTTGTATAAAAAGTATTCAATTCCCTCTTAAAAATCCTATCACTAGTAAATAACTTACCTGAAATTTCAAAATCTTTTTTTTTATTAAGATTCTCCAAATTTAACCAAGTTTCATTAATTCCCTGTTATATAATAGCTTTCCATTTTGAGTAGAGCCCTGAACTCATCTATTGTGTTCCAGGAGGATTAGAAGTAGATGGGATGTGACGTGATTGGTTGGTGGTGCATTTTGTAGTACCATTGATTAAATCATCACTCATTCCACTAACCAATGTTACAAGAGCCACCAGCCAATTGTCACCTTTAATTCCATTGGACATTTTGAAAGCCTTCTATCTTTCATATTCTGGTCAGCATGCACTGGTTTTGTAAGGGTTTATATGGTATCCGGAAGTTTTTACCTGAGCTACTTTTGGAGATTAGTCTTCCAAGATTTTATTTACAAGTATTACTCTGAATTAAGCAGTTGTTACAATTTTCATTTTTTGTTCCTTAGATGCCATAGTTACAATTTCAGAAACCCCTTTTTTGTTGTTGTTGAAAAGATGGGCTACTAATTTTATGAAGTGTCTTCTTTTACTTGAAATTTTGTCAAATGAAAGATTACACATAAAATACAAAGTATTTACTGAAATATGTCCTTAGGGATATTACAAGCATCTGCCAGTGTCAGAAGCTGCTACATTTTGAAGAAGTAAACTCCTCCTCAGGTTGTTTTGTAATAAATGTTTCATTTCATATGTTATCGGTATCATTAATTTGATGTAACTTGAGACCAGTTGCCAAATTCCATAACTTATTATAAAGAGGGAGTACAAATTATCCTTGTTACTAGTTGTGTTTTGAGAAAATTGTTCCCTTAGATGAAAATATTCATTAACTTTGGAATTTGTGGAATTTAGTATATGTTAAAAATGACTTACTGTTTAAATTAAAAACTTAGAAGTTTCATTTGTAATTGTTTACAGGTAGACCATATTCTGTGATAAGAAAAGAGAACAGGAATGCAAAATGTCTGCTAACACTTCTCTGTTGGATTTATATTTGGATGCCACCATAATTGCTAACCCAGGTGATTTGATTTTTATTGTATTTAAAATTTGACTTTATATACTTGATAAAAATCTAAAAGAAATTTGTGTTAGTTGCTAATACAGTAATTAAGAAATTAAGTAAAGAGCTTGTTAAAACCATAGCTATTTTGTAAACATTACTAAAATGTGGGAAATATTCATGATGATAAGGGGATTGGTTATATGATTCCCATACATAAAAAAGTTTAAAAAGAACTGGGACACTGAAAAATTACAAGCTTGAGCAAAGATCTATAAACTTACTTTTTAGTTTGGTTTTGTGTTTTTGGAGTCACTTAGAAAATAGTCTTAAAAGTAGATTTTAATAAATTGTAGTCACACTTATGACTTAAAAGAGTTTTGTGTTTCATTAACTGTTTTTGCATTTCTGGATGTGAATCTTTTTTATTTTCACAAAGCTTTTCATAAGTTTTTGAATAAATGGTTAATTATTTACATTCTCAGGGCATAGTTGAAAAGATTAAAAAGTGAATGAAGGATTTACTTGATGTTATGGAATTGGGTGATAAATAAGCAGTGTTTGGTATATTGAGTGTGATTTGTATGGAGGATGTTTGTACAGTAGTTCATTATTTTACTGGACTGATAGCTATATGGACTGTAAATTATCTTAAATTTGTTGAATACAATGTGCAAAATAACTGGACAGATATTTGACTGGGGAGAATAGTTTGATTTGTAAGTATTTTGGTAATAAATGAAGTGAAGTTGTGCATCTAGAGTACAAAAAACTGAAAAGGAATTGCTTGGGAGTGTTCAGGAGATGGTGATTTTGATTATGATTACAGAGAAAAATGTGAAATCACTGTTGTAAGCTGTTGTCTATAGCATGTACCTGGTTTTGAGATCAAACTATAGCAGTTTTGAGTTTATGATTAACCTTCTCTCCATGAGCATCTTTTTCTGCATATGTCATAAGGTTTTATTGAGTTACATTTAAATTTAATTAAACTACTTCGTTTTATTGGTATATAGCATAAAAATGTAGCTAATAATCCATATTTTAATAGTATATAAGTTACAAGCTTTTATTTTTATAAGGCAATATTAAAAAATAATCTAGAACTTCCCTTAGTGTGAGAATTATGGCATTTGCTCACTAGGTATCCCCTCTTGTCTAATTTATTTACTACCCCTCCAAGAAGTATGAAATTTAACTTAACTTACTCATTATAATATTTTCATCACTGTCATAGTTTTCATAGCCTTCAGTCGTATTTGGTTACAGAGCAATGAAATAAACAATCATACTCTTGCCACACCGACCTGTCACATCCTCTCTTTCAGAAATTGCCAATAGTTCTCTGATGGTCAATACTATATTATTTATAAATCAATAGAAAGCCAAGGTTTTTCCTCTACCAAATGCTGTATTATATTACATTGTTTTCTGTAAAGAGAATTGTAAATTTTGCTTTCAGTTCAAGCTTGAAACACACCAATGAGCTTAGATGAAGTTTTAAAGCTCTTGTCACATAGTTAGAAAGGCAGAAAAATTGTGATAGTTATGGGGCATTGTCAGCTTTTTGCATGTTATTATTCTGTGTGTTTTGGTGGATTATTTAATTAAATAAAAAATGATTTAGTGCAATGTTACCATTAGTATAAAATATTAAACAAAAAGGAGGGTTAAGTGTCATCAACTGTTGATAGCAAAAAAAGAAAATCCAGGTAAGTACTTTATTTCTTGTTTTTCGTGTGTATTCTTTATTTATTATTATAAAATTAACTAAAATGTAAAAATAGATCAGGTGAAATAAATAAATAATAAATTTTATCATGAGGTACACTCGTGAGTAGCTCGTACATAATGTAATTTGATAGCGTAACATGAGCTACAAGTTTGCCAAGTGATTTATGACTTATAATGGCACAAGTAGTAGTTAGACAGTTCAGAGATCAATAAAACAATACAATTTAAGTATAAATACCTGTTTATTGTTATGAGTTTAAAGCTATTTAGGATAAACATATGTAGTTTCAGATACAATTTGAAGTCATTCTAGAAAGAAAAAGGGTAAGTTAGATTTATTTCCTTTTTTTTTTTTGGTAGTTATGAGATCAGTCAAATTGACCAACCTTGTATAGAGTTAGGGTAGATAAAGTATAAAGTTTTACTGAGCGAAAAAAATTTTTGTGACGAAGAAAAGTATTTTTAATCTGAATGTGGAAATCACTTTGCACTCTGATTAGTATATAAAAATACTATATATATTCATGGACAAATCTTTAGTAAAAATACTTCATTAAAAATTCTGGTTTTTTGTATGCAAAAGATTTGTAATGGTTACTAAAAGTTTGCCAAATTTTGTGAAGATACACAAAGTGTATCAAAAATTATACTATGGAAACTATAATGAGTTCAAATTGGTTACAAGGTCGGTCAATTTGACCAACCTCATAGCAAGAGAGTTAAAAAGACCAAAACATCATCTGCAGTACAATATTCAATTTATTTTCCTTAAGAAGGATACAAATTATTTTGAAAAGAGAGCTACCAACATACTTGATTAAATAAAGTTGCATAATGAGAAAAAGCCTAATGGTTGCATTTGTTTTTGTTGGTGTCTAGAATTAAGAGGTGGTTTGATTTCGGCATTTAAGATTATATCTGAACTTATGGGGGTTGGTAATGATGACTTCAGTAATATGGTAGCAAGTAAAAACTTTTGAAACCCAGACATGATCAAAAGCTTTTAAAATAGTTAACTTGTGATTTTATGTGATGATATTGGGGTGTGCCTATTGAAAGACTTATTTCAGATTTACTGGTTTATTGAATTTCAGGAACATTTCTTTTTCTCTTAATACTCTATGATGAATATTAGTTTTTATTACTAAACTTTTTTAATCATACTTAAATTTCATTCAAGTTGGGAAATGTATTGTTGAATTTGAGGAGCTGAAGACCATTATCTCTGGAAAATTATACAAATACTGAGAACTCAAATAAGGAAATTCAGAAGCCATACCCTTTTAGTAAAGTAGTTTTGGTTGATCACATTTTTTATTCTGGTTCTATTTGTGTATATAAGTGAAAAATTAGTTTTCTGTAACAATGTTATGATTTCATGTTTATTTTTCAACTTGCATAATTATGATATTTTATAATTTTAATGTAGATAGAATTCATTAATTATGACTGATAATTTAGGATTGTTGTAAATAAATTATAAAATATAAATAACTTAATTAGATTTGCATTTAATGTTTTATTAAATATAACTTAACAAGCTTAAGGTTGCAGTAATGATAATTATTTTAAATTCCACATGTGATATACTTTATTTGTAAAAACTTTATTCCTTACAAAGTACTCTTAATATTAACATTCTCATCTTTATTTCAAATTATCAGTAAAGAAAATTTTGCAATAAATTTAATTTGTACATTTGATTGGAATAGTTTTATAAACTGAACATTATATACCACCATTCAGGATTTGTTCTCATGCAGCTTTCTCAATTCTTATCATAAAGGCTTAACTTGTAAGAAATCTTTATTTTGCTTAAGCTTATGTAACTTGTGTGCCTTTCTGTCATTCATGTGTTCCAAAAACAGTTTTATATACAGGCTCAGATTTTATTCTGATTTATTTATGGATTATTTCTCAAATCTGACAATCTTTGGCCACTAATTCCAAGACCAAGATCATTGCTTGAATTATTTTTCTATGAGTTTTACAGTGAGGAGAATTTAGAACCTAAGATCTTGAAGGTGTTTTCAGTGTATTAATTCATGTACGGAAGGATTATTTTGAATTCCTCGGTTATTTTATATAGGAATAACCATTATAAAAAAAAGTAATTGGAATAAGAGTATTTGTCACACTTTTTCCCAGTTCAGAAAATTTCCTGTGTGTGTAAACAAATCTATCATTTATTTCAAAGCACAGAAAGTGAGATAATGAAAATTAATATTAACAGTTGTATTCTTCTTAATTATTTGCTTTGTTTCTTTAACAGTGGAGAGATCAACAGTGATCCAGAATATTGTCAATGTGTTGAAAGAGTATTCGTTGGACAAAAAGTATGAAATAAAAATGAGTGATGGAGTATTATTACTTCTAACAGTTGAGAATGGAAGGTAGGACTTTCTGTTGCATCAAGAACTAGCAAGAAGTTTAACAAGAAGCATTACTATATTTATAAATAAAGTAGAAGTTTGACTAGAAAGAACATGTAACCTGAAACTGACACTAATCGTAACTAGGAACAGTTTTGTTTACGTAACTGTTAAACTGAAAAACTTTAACTACAAACCATACATGCAGCTAGGAACATTAGAAAGAAATGTGATTTGAAACAGTACTGTATCAGAAGCTTGTATGAAAATTATTTGCATGCTCTGAGATGTTGTAGTTCATGTGTTGTGGCATAAAGAAATATATGAAAAATTTGCAATGATGAAACTTAGAATTCAATATTTCAAAGTAGTATTCATTTAGAAGTAGCATCAACATGATAAAAGTTATCTGAATACAATAGCCAAGTATTACTCATTAATATTTTTTAAAGTTGGCTTATATTTTCTTAATTTATGCAAGTACCTTTTACTTTTCAGTTGTTTTTGTAATATTTCATAGTTCATTAGCTAATCTATCACTATCTTCAAATGTGCAAAGAAGTATATGCCTTGGGAAAGTTTTAAAGGTTTGAGTATCTGTTCTCTTGACTATACATTTCTTAACTAGACAACATACATCAAGAGTGTGGCATGTAGCTTTAGTATTTTGTAACTTACTAAAGATTAAATATGAAACCCAGCATTATTTGATTTACCATTTGTCACTGAGTTATTTAGGTTTTGGGAAATTACATTGCTCATTGGTATTCTGGACAAGGGCAAATCTTGAACAGATTGTCTGCTGAATAACTGAAGATTAATAGCATTTATGCTACATATTTTTCAAATGCATTATGAACATAAATTCACTGTGTTGAGTAGAAGACAACTAAAATCAATAAACATTGTGTAGCTTTATGTTTATTGTTCACTATTATTCCTTTTTTTTTGACATTTCACAATTATTACTTTAATTTTCAAACATCAAATGTGTTATATACGTGTTATCACATTTATTAAGTATACTTTCTGATTTGGTAATATATCCAAAAACTTCAGTTACAAAGAAAACAGAAAATATTTCAACACAGAAGTAGTAATTGAAGATCCCCACCCCAAAACTTTTATTTTCCTAATTAACAAAGAAAATTTTTTGCAACTCTCTTAACCCTGTAGGTGCATACTTTTTTAATATATTTAGGTTTATATACATGTCTAATAAGATTAGGTATATCTCTAAAACCATTTGAAATAGCCCAAGACCACATGGAAACAACTGTTCAGTACAACCTCAATATTTAAATTATACAAGTGATTTTACTTTCTGATGACATCACACTTCCAGCATTTGAGAAATTTGTAGTTTTTTTCTTCTGATTTGACACAAATAAATCACCCGATTTCATAACAAACTGTTGAGAGTTATTAGTTACCCTTTGCTATGTTGTATTTATTGTTCAGAATTCCTTTGAATAGGCAAGTTATGTGATATTTAGGCCAGTTTTTGGAGGCAATATGTGAATACAAATAATGAAATAAAGCAATTGCATGCAGTTAATTTCCCTTTCCTCCTGAACACAGAATTGTCATCTTTTCTGAAAGTTAAGACAGCGGGTTTTAAATTGTCAACATGCCATGGTTCACATTTACTATACCACACAGTATTGTGTTTTGATTAGACAGTTCTTCAGCCAAGGACATTAGCATTATTACTGTCTACATACAGTTTGTGCCCTTTGCCAGTCTATGATTCCTATGTGAATTATGTATGATTGTTATCCTAATTTGCAACATTTTTGTTTTTACCTGCATAGAGTGAAAATTCAAGAATGTATCCACTTTTTGACTCATATAATACAAAAGCCTCAAATCACCATTTATCTGGTTTCTTAGGATTTCACTGTTTCAAGAAACTTCACCCTTTAAATGAGATTGTCATTTCATCCAATGCCAATTCCTTGTTTGAACCAAATGGTTATGTGAATTTGGGTATTATCATGACAAGAAGTACCACTTGCAACATGATCATTATTGTTTGTAAAGTGTAGGAAGCTCAAGATAAATTCAAATCTATCTCCTAGTAAAGACATGGCAGAAACCAGGAGTGTCAGTTAGCCAAAATGTATCCAAATAGTCCTCTATTTCAGGTTTAACGACCAAGTCTACTGCAAGGTGCAACACAAAGAATGTTTTTGTCATTTGACGGTTCACAGGTACCCATTTACAAAGTTGTGAAAGTGGTTTCAAATCATCACCTTTATTTTGTAAAAACTGATTAGCATAGTGGTTTGTTTCTGTTGCAGTGTGATGAAACACAGCATCATCTAGAAATCATTTCAAAGAATTATTAGGTTCTGCCTCATTTTAATTCCAGTTTTCATTTACCCACAATATTTCTGTTTTCAAAGTTGGAAATCAAAAGTTTAAAATGTTCATCACCTGCCATCAACTTATACTTATAATTACTTGTTTTACCAAGTTTATGCCTAGCTCGATTACCATGAACAAGTCAACCATGCCCACATGGAAGTTGTTGTGCCATACCATTCTTAGCCCTGGGTCTGGCCTGGGAGGACATAAATGTGTAGTTGTACACCCACCTGTACTAGTAATGGCAACAGGTATATTTTTATTTGGTACTGGACTATGTTCATGAGATCTCCTTTGAAATTTGGTCCTTTTAGAAATGGGAACCTTGTAATCACTGTCACTGTCATCACTTGATTCCATGGGCCCAGCTTTGGCATTACTACTATAACATGTCCATATGAGTATCAGTCATATCATGCTAAAGATTGTCACCAGATAATTCAAGTTCAGAGCCAGAATCATCATCAGCTTGCACAAGTTCAGTTGTCTCTTCAGATTTGAAAAGACTGGAGTGATTTTGCCATTTTAGGTCTGTTTTCTCAAAATTTAAATAATCTTCAACTGCATATATTACCATGTTTTTTATTTTGTTGTTGTTGTTGTTTTGTTTTGAATAGCAATAAAATATTAGCCTTTTTAATAATTTGAGCATTGATGTAAAAACTATATTCAAACCATCACATAAAATTAGCATCTTACTACCTTACTCCCTATTAAAAGAACAAAACAGGGCATATACACTATCCCATGTGAATGTGGAAAAAATACATAGGACAAATGTTACATTTCTTAGAAATAATATACAAAGAACACCAAGGTTGCACTAGTAAAGGTGAACTCCAGATATCCGCCTTAAAATATCATCAATATGAAACAGGTCACAAAATACTTTGGGATGAAATTCTTCTATATCAACCAAAGACCATAAAAGAAAGAGACTGTTTAGAAACTATAGAAATCATCAAAGCAAATGATCTGTCACTAAACTGTGATAATGGCCCTAGCAACATCAGACTTATTTGGCAAGGTCTATTTACCATTTTTAGACTTGATCTCTACCTATATCCTGTCACCTGCTAACACCATTTCTGGACATTTAATCCCTGTCTTTGTAACGATAAACCTTGTATTACTTAATACTGATCATACCTGAAGAAGACACACCAATGTTCTATAGAAAAATTTAATATGTTCCACCATTATTAACATTTTTCCTATTATTATATTAACATAATGTGCTTCCTTACTTAAGTTTCATTTCTGGTTGCTAGATGGCAGCACAAATTGTCCTTATATAATGACTGTTTCTGACTTTTTATTTAGTAAAGATAAATAAATAAATAAAGAATAATCTAAATTAATATTCAAGGTATCAATTAGATCAAGTATTTATGCAACTGACAGATGTGTGTACATGTTATTGATGTGTGAGTTTAAAAACACTAGTTTTTTAATTATCAAAACAATACATTATGTAAAAGTATACTTTTCTTCAAATTCTTAGTAGGGCTGGGATCTTTATGATGTTCTCCCTATTAATCAACATGATCCTAGCTTTTGGTGAAGTTGATTGTATGCACATGCAGTGAGTTAGAGTAAAGATGCAAGGTCTGGGTTTTATAAATACCCCCTTAACGTAGGTCCAGTGCTCTGGGGTACTTGTACCATCCTGGAGGAACCATTCCAGCTTCACTGTCCTCAGTGTTATCCAGTATTAGAGAAACTGGCAAAACTGTTATGGTATTAACAATATATATTACCATTAAGTTACAAAAATAAAACAAGTGTTCACTTATCAACATACTTCAGTGAAATTGTTTTAAAAAGAGGGGAAACAAAAAAAAGAATGTGCAAAAGTATGATTTAGGTACGGCAATGCCAAAAAGTACAGAAATAAGGGAGGGATGGATACACAAAATCATACAAAAATGACTGTATAAGAAGAAAAACTTTTATCTACAACTAAATCTTGAATTTCTCTCAGTTGCATGAATTCAGGTTTGAATGAAAGCATTTAACCCTTCCAATTCGGGCTGGGTAGAATCCGTCCAGCTCATAACCACAAAAGTATCCATGAGAGTAATTATACTATGATTTTTGATAATGTATGCACATCTTTACAAAATTTTGCAGGTTAATGGGAAACATTACAAGATTTTGTACACAAGATATCAGGTTCTAAATTAAGCATTCAGATTTTTTAATTAAAGATTTTCTTCTAAACCTTTTTCTTTTAGAATGTTGACTATCCAACCTGCAAAGCAATTTTGATTTTAAGATTAAAAATACTTTAATGCATTAGAATACTTTCAAATTTCACATGCGAAATCTCGATAATCTCCAGATAATTATCAAATTTTTTTTAGAAAAACTTTATATTTTATTTATTTCAACTATTGTATTTCTGTAAGAGCTGATTTGATTTGACCAACTTATTAACCTCAATAAAAAATTAGAAGAAAAATATAAGTTATGGTTTTTCGTTCTAGAATGACTACTGATTATAACATGAAAACACAAATGTTTAGAATAGCTCAAATCTCAATTATACATTTATATACATTTATTATTTTTATTATATTGACCTTCCTGCCGTGCCTAACTAATAATACAGAAGTTACAATGATGTGACGCAGTTGCACTCTTGGTAC